ATTGTTCTGCATATTCAGACTTCCACAACAAATAATCTCCTCCAGCTGGGCAAGCCTTAGCAATCTGTTTCCAATCGAAAGGCGGCAAGGCATCAGTTGCAAGAGAATCTAGCATGGCTAATGTAAAAGGGGCAGTCGGCCCATATTGGGTACAAGCCATTTTCAATTATTTTAATTGTTTAAAAGGGATGGGGGCGTGTTGTCAAACAAGGTTTCCCTGAGCATCCTGAGCCTCAAAAACTGGGCAGGCCAGAGAAAATGCAGATACATCCTCACCTTCTTTAAAGGCTTGTTGTAAACCCTGATGAACTGGGGATTTAAGGAGCTGGGAGTTTACTCTCATAGGCTTCCAGCCTTCAGGAGGTCCTGAAGCCAAAGCAATTAAAGAAGGCTCCTTTTCTGATTGTCACAAGGAGAAGGATCAAGATCTGCTATTGTACTAGGCTTGTTTTTAGGGCGTTTATGACTAGTCCATTGAGCTTGCATTTGTTTAGACAGATTTTCTATCATATTTTCTAATTTTTCCATCCTATCTTCTAACTGAATTTTTTGTGAACCCTCAGTATGGGCTGCTGTCACTAAAGGCGGCCATACATTTTCATAATATTTAGCAGTTTCTACTTCAAAACCTAGAGGTTCCGGCGGAGCCATCGGAACGATACTTTCACTTTCAATTTTACAATTATCATACTAAGGTTCCTCTACACTCAATAAACTTTTAAACATATATACAAAAGGCAAGCGACTGTTACTAGCTCCCATTTTTAATATTTATAAGAAAACTCACCGCTCCTCTTTTTGCCTTCCTTTTGAAGGTCCTCTTTTTTCTTTTCATCAAGATCTCCTTTTATTCTTTATCCAGCGGTGTCCTTCACTGAATCCCTCAATACTCAAGCCCCTGTTCAGGCGCCACTTGTGGTGGTCCAGCCGTCACAACACGAACATGCCTGAGTCGGGGAGTGAGGATTGAGAAAGGAAAGAACACTCCAGCCTGAGTGGAGACAAAGAGAAGTCTGATTTATTTCACAGAAACAACTCCTTTTATAGGTTCACATCAACAGGAAGCTTTTAAGGGCACGCAACAACAGAAAACACCAAGCAATTGTTTTTATCTTTATGCAAAGACCGGATTTCCTGACTCTTACAGATAACATCAGATCTTCAGCTAATGAGTTTCCTGTTATGTCAGGGTCAAAGAATCAAAACAAGCTTAACA